TAATCTCCCGGGCCCCTGGTGTGGCCTCCACCCCCAGGTGATGGTGTCATAGGCTTAAGGTTTAAGTTTAAGTTTAAGAGCTGGGACTGGGGAACTGGAGCATTAAGGAACTGCCTGTGATGCTGGGATATCACACAGAGACAAGAAGACTCCTGGTTCTGTGTGTGTTTGAGGGGTGGGGGTGGCGCAACCTGCCAGGAGGTTCAGTGCAGGCTTCACAGAAGGGAAGCAGTTGAGACTGGCCTTGACCCATGGGTCTGCTTCCAGCAGGGGAAGCCTCTGGGCTGCTGCCTTTTTTTTGAAGCCTTTAGAGTCTCTTAGCTCTTGCCCTTCTCTCCCTCCTGGGGCGGTCCGAGGTCCTGCAGTTCTTGCCAGTTCCTGGGATCTGGTTGTGAGCACCGTGCATGCTGAGAGGCAATGATAGTGTGGAACACTGGGGAAGAAAGATGGACTCCTGGGAGCAGAGCCTCTGTTGGGGATGGAGGGGAGGTCCGTGCACACACTCACACACTCACTCGCCCTTATTAGTGTGGGATGCGATGTGTGGGGGCCCTGGCTGGCTCCTTCCTCTAGGTCCTCAGGGGAGCCTTCCCCAGCATCCTATTACACCTTTAGCTTTTGACTTAGACCAAGCACAGCAAATGCTGCCTCAATTCACAGTTACATTACTCTACGTGGGTGTCTGTTTTGACTGAATTACCAGCTTCCCGCAACCTGTCCTGAGTTTTGGTGGCTTTCCCAGTCTCCGAAGCACCCAGCACAGAACGGTGCTTAGGAAACACCTGTCGAACTAAATGGAATGAACGGAGCACAGGCTCATGTGCTGGGAGAACTAGTTCTCACCCCTCCTCTCCTGCTGACAAGTTGTGACTTCCCCTCTCTGAGCCTCAGTTTCCCCATCCTTAAGATGAGGCTCTAAGGCCTCATGCATTTCTAACCTTTCATGACTCTATGACACAAAGTGCTAAGGATGCTCAGATGGCCTGGTGAGCACCGTGAGTCTGGGTGAGTCAAGGAGGGCTTCCTGAAAGAAGGGAGTTTTGA